TTTTCTCCCCTGTGCAATGAAGAATACATGGAATACATATCTTTTAATGGATAGCTTTTCAGAATACATATCTTTTCAAAAGGCTGATATTAGGTTAATAATGAAACTTTTACAAAAAGAAGTGGGAAACATTAATTTTGATCTGGCAGGGAAGTACTTTCCTAATGAAGTAGTAATTAAATAAGAAGGATAGTTATTAAAGAACTGGTAAATCTAGTGCTCTCTATCCCTCCTATCTCAGCAGTTCTAGCAGCAGTTCTGGGTAAGGAAAAGGAGTGTTTGTGACAAGCGTGAAGCCCCACCAGAAAAATATAAAACGAGCAATGTGTCATAAGAATCTTAAAGATATGAAACAATGTCAAATAAATGAAATCAATTTCCAGAAGAGAATAATAAAGGCTGAAAAAAGGTACCCGGAAAGCCAGAAGACTTTTCTATTTTCTTAATTGGGGTAATTATACTAAAACTGACAGCAAATATTTTCCCTGTAGCAAAAAACACCCACAAACCCCAGCCAGCCAAAATACCGCTCTGAGTGTGAGATCTGTGAAGGTTAAAGGCTTGAGTCTCCCATTAGGAGAGTGTTCCTCTTCTCCCAAGGTCAGTCCTTAAATGTGGAGAAGTAATTTTGATTCTGGTCTCCTCACAGTTCAAAGTCAACACTTACCTTGATTTCAACAGTGCTATATTTGGCAAAGTACTAATATAATTGTATTTGGTCCCAGTCTTGTCCTGTTTGAATGTTAAACGCCTCAATACCAAGCCCATTGTGTTTTTCTCCGTCCTAGTTTAGGTGATGTATAAAATAGTGAGCAGAGTGGACCCACTGGAGCCGTCCCTCCAGCGAAACTAATGGTGCCAGTGTCCACACTAAGCATGCTTTGGGGGTTTTACTTCAGACTAGCTTTTTTCTGGAACCCTGCTGCCATGAACTGAAATTTCTTTTATTGTTTTTATAGCACATGAAGAGTTCCTAGAGCACATCTTTGGGCGTAGTTTCATCCAAAAAGGATGTAGTTCATGCAGTCCCAGGCTGCATCATCATAGCGTGAGCCAAATACAGCACATAGGTGTTACTGGAGCAACAGAGATGACCTCCAACAAATCACACTGTGCATCAGCCCATGTAAAAACTCTCAGCTGCTGTTGCCTCCTTGTTGTTCTTTCATGTTCTTCATGTCCTGGTCACCAGCTTCTCCTTGCATATTTCACTGCAACACACTGAGGACCTTCTCCCTCAGTTAAGACCCCTTAGTGGGATAGATATAATCTGGCAGTCTGAGTTGCGTTGGCGGTGTTTGGATTTGAAAGCACTCAGTGTCTCCTTGCTGATAATTAGAACTTGCAAAGAGGAGAAGAGTGACTGTACAGCCCTGGATCAGAGATCGGGCAGCCCAGGGACACCCTCTCTCTCAGTAACCAGTAAAGGGTGCCTGGGAAAGACTTTAATAACAAGGCAAGGATATGGTGGTGCTTCCCCAGAATACTTTCTTAGCTTCCAAAAAATTCACAATTCAAGGATTTCCTAAGCCAGAGGCTTTGTCTTTATATCTAATAGCTGTTGATATGTTTTTTTTCTTTTGTGATTTTAGTTACTTTTTAGATTTATGTTAATTTTAGGATCTAGCATCCTGCAGGAAGGAGTCTGACACTAACTTAATGCTGCACAGTTTGGATTTATTAAGAAAAGACTGAGAATGTTAATAAGAGGGTTTCAGGTACCCCCATGCTGCCTCTGTTCACATTAATCCTAGAAACAGGATTGTCTAGCTCATGTGGTGCAGAGTCACCATGCCAAAGTTAAGAGTATCAGTGGATGCAGTGCATGTGCAAACCGACCACAGCTGGGGCTCTGCACTACTCTGTGTGGGTTTATTGATGTGAATGGGAAACTCTGCCCAAACCATAGGATGCAGACAGGCCCACTGTACCTTCTCTGGCTTTTTTCAGAGCCAGAAGCACTTGACCCACGAGATGCTTGGGTATGACCATATTTCTGTGGGAGCCAGAGTGGTGAATCAAGACCATTTGGCTCTTGTGGGAACCAGCCAGCAAGGACTTCACCCTCCCCTCAAATCCTTGCATTCCAGGCCTGGGATTTTATCAGATTGTATTTGTGATCCCACTTGATTTTTCAAATAAACAGTGAAATGCAAATATTTGGCCAGAGGGAAAACCTCCCAGTTACTGAAGGGGAAAAGAATACAATACCTGAATGACTCATGGCTTTGCGGGTGAAGTAATGGCTGCGCGTCATAGCTTGGGATGTGGGTTTGTGATCTGATGCCACGTAGAGTGGATGTGCTTGGGTTGTGAGGTTAATGTAAATGACTTTTGTGGGAATTGTCCTGTGAATTCCCAGAGCCAATTTGCTTGTTAAGGTATCACTGACTGCATGATGGCAATTAGTAAGATAGGGAGGGCACCTGCCAGATGCAACCAAGCCCTCCTCTGGACACCAGCTGGGGGCAAATATGTAAAAACCCTTCTGCTGCTTGAAGAGGTAGCACCTGCAGGAGGAGTTCAGGTGGCCGTGGCTGGAGGAACTGTGGGGATCAGGACTTTCTGAGGGCTGGAAAGGGGAGGGCAGCAGGAGCTAGCATCCCTGGGAGGTACCTGGTGCCTCTGAAGCTTTGCTCTCCTGGGGCAATTAATTGAAGACCTGCTGGATGAGCATGCTCTGATGTCTGATGCAGTAGCCCTCTGCCTGGTGCCCCATGCTCCCGTTGACTTGCGTCTGCCATGGGTACCCTTGGGTTACTGACTCCCTTGTTCTCCTCTGAATCACTTGATGATGCTAAGGCAAAACATGTAAATGCTAATGCAAGTGTAAGTATAAAGGCCAGTGGCACCTCCGCAGACCCCTGCTTCTGCCTTGCTCGCCGCTAATCCCTTGTACCTGCTGGGATTCCACACAACACCCATTCTAGGAAGTTGCCAGCAGTTGCTCACTGCCCTATATATGAACAACTTGCAGATGTGACAAAATACAGGTTGTTTTGTCAGGATTCTCTGTTTTCCCTCTCAGTCTCTCGGTCGCAGGATTTCCTCACCTCTCCTACTCCTTTCCATCTTTTTTTTCGGTACTCTGGTCACTGCTCCGTGGCTGCACAGCCCAGGAGCTCGGTAGAGCTGCAGGTCAGGGCTCCCCTCTGGTGATACCTGCTGGGGGGATGTGTGCCCACGCAGGTGGTAGCCTGTTCTCAGGGGGCCCTCCCCACCCTGAACATCCACGCTGCATGGGATCTAGTGGTTTTGCTGTGCAGGTTAGCGGAGGGAAGAGTGAGGAAAGTGCCTGTGCCCCCTTTCTCCTCCAGCCAAACCCCTCTTATAAGTAGGAGCTGTTAGGGAGCATTTTTTACTACATCCTACCACTGCTTGCTGCAGCAGAAACATCATGGGATATGGTTTACAGCTTGGTAGACAAGAGCAGGGCATCTCCTGAACCCAGCTGTTGGCAGATCAGTTGGCTTTGGGAAACCAGCCAAACTTTTTCAGTTTTCTGGGGCACTCTGGTTTGCCTGTGAGATTAGAATTTGCAGCATTAGATAAGCACAGATAAATAGAATATATCCATTTCTAATTTGAACAATCCCATGTTTACCCAGGTCTCAGCGCCTGGCTGGAAGACCAAAGTGTTGTCCCAAAACTTGTGGGATCGTTCACCCAGTGTGCAAGCCAATAGCACACAGAGTTGAGGTATTAGCTGTTTATTGCCAGTTCTGCAAAGGAAGGGGTGCTGGGGGGTATTTCCTCAAAGCTGGCACACCCAGCACTAAAACAGTCATTCACTTATACATTTTAAATTAGCATAATTACCATATACATTGTTTATCAACCTTTTACTGGTGCCCATAATTCCATACCTTAAAGCTGGTTGGTGTATAGTGCCTCGTCTTCATTTAAAGGTGCAGCATCTTTTAATTTTACTGTGCAAGCTCAGTGGGTGAGGGTCTTCAGGTGGAGGCTGGTATCCTAACTTCTAGAGGTGTGGTCTTCATATTATGATTAGTTAAGTTCACCTAGAGGGCTTGTTTTCATGCAGTATAGCCAAGCTTCTTGGGCAACCAGCCCACTAAAGTTTCTGGTTCCTCGTTTTAGGTCGATTTGTTCCTTCTATTCCATTGTCTTGTCAAGAGTTACTTACTCAAGTGATTTACATCAATTACTTATCTTTTATTCCCAAAGTTTATAGAAAAATTATAACCATAAATATTTTCAAATCGAAGGCAGCTTCTTTGTTTGTGGCTCCAGCAGTGCCAGGAGTCAGGGCTGGTCCCACATTTGAAGAATCTTCTTTTTTTAAGCAGTTCAGAGGCTGGGGCTGCTGCTTGGGAAATGGTTGTATTCTCCCTGCAGGCAGATCAATACACTTCAGCTCACTGCACTGCAAGTAACTTTTCATTGTACATTAAGAATGAGGAAAATAAAAGCCAAGATGGATGTTATTTTGGTTTTGCTTTTATTTTGAATTATTTATTAGGAAGTCACTGCTGTCTTCCTTCTCGCCCGGAGACAAAATGCCTTTGTCTTTGGTGATTTTTCCTATTAAAATAAACGAGGTCTTCCCAGTGTTATTTCCTTCACCCACTTGCTTCTTGGTACTGAAGTGTAAATCTAGGGTGTCTGCAACTTGACAAGATGGTCTCCTGCAGTCCTAATGCAGACAAAGTTCCCACTGGCAGGGGTGGAGGCACACCTCATGGGTACATTTCTAACCAGTTTTATAATGACATTGCAGATGAGTTATGTGTGTTATGAATGATTGCTGGCACATAAGCAGAGTGTGTTATGGAGGGTTATAAGTAATCTACAGGCTAGCTGAACTATCATTTTAATCAAGCATTTACTAAATTGCTAGTAAAAATATTAATCCTTTTAAAGTGAATTCTTAATATAACACGTTATGGGGCAAAAATTCTGCAATTGGCTCCACTATTAATATGAGTTTGGAAACTCAAGCTAACAATCCATTTTGATGTTTTCCTTCCTAAATCTAGGTTATCCTGAAGGGGAGGATAAAGAAACTGGCCACCAAGATGGTAATCACTAGTGGAAATGAAGAAGATAAAGGCAGTCAAGAAAAGGAAAGCAAAGAAGAAACCATCTTGGCAATGCTTGGAATTATTGGGACAATTCTGAACCTCATTGTGATCATTTTTGTGTATATTTACACAACGTTGTAAACTAGGAGGCATGAAAATAGACCAGATAAAACGACCATTAAGAGTGACGACAAACATTGCTGACTATTGACAAGTTGTTTAATCAGAATTGACTCTGTATTATATTAACACATCATAAAAGCACTGCCTGCAGGCAGCAAAGGCTGAAGCACAATTAATTTAACAAGACTTTTTCACACAGTAACAAGCTTAACTCTTCTGTCCTGCTCTCTTCCTTTCAGTTTGGTTTTAAGTTTTGGGGAAAATTACTGCAATGATGTATGTTGTAGCTTTGAAGAAAACCACCAGGGATATGTTGTTTTAACACAATTTAAAAAAAAAAAAAGAGAAGAAAGAAACTGTACACTATATACAAATAGAAATGTATACTCTATACCTACAAAGATTGAACTCAAAGATAGCTTCATAGCACAGATCACGTGTCCGTTAGGTCAAATGATTTTTTTCTCTTGGTTTTGCTTTTACTTACATTGAATTTGACAAGCTTTTTATTTAGAATGAACATATGGTGCAATCATGAAAAAAACAATTCCATTGAGCAAGGTCTGCCTAAACCTGATAAAATGTTGGGAGAAATACATTACATGGTTATTTTTCCTCTCTCATTTGCTTAACATCTGTGTCTGTTCATACTAATGTTTATAAATATATATTTTTAATAAATGTGCTATATTTTTAGCATGAACCAAATATTTGGAGACACTTGTATTCATGCAGCTAAATTTTGTTTGATGAAGTGCCCTTTTTGACAATGGATGTTATTTTTCTCAGCAATTATACAGCAGTCTTGTTTGCAGCCCTCTCACTGTGGTCTGAAGCAAGCTCACATCATGCTCATATGCATGACTTGAAGTTGGAATGTCAGCTGAAAAGCATTGCTGCTTAATACGGGAAATAGCAAAACATTGTAAGGTGACCTTTGGAGACTGGTTGCAGAAAGAAGGCTCTATTTATAGTTTTTTTTTTAAAAAAAGCAAATGAAAGGAATATTGAAGCATCTCACAAAATATTATAAAATTCACAGAATTTATGGCTTTCAAAATCTGGTCACACTGTCTAAGTACTTATAGTGAAAGAATTGAGCAGAGGTTTATGCAGTTGAAAAGAAAAATTTAGAGAGCCTGTGGTGAGGGGCTTAAGTGAAATCCAGACTGTAAATACAGAGTATATTTTAAATGTGAGGATCATTAACCCTTTATGCTTCTCTGACATGCTTTAACTGAGGTCAGTGCAGTGAAATTCTCTGACTTGTGTTTTTGACAGGAATGTACAATGATGATGATGATGATGATCACCATTTTTCTTCAGAGTTCAGTACCTATAAATATATGAAGCATTAAAAATATGAGACCTCAATTCTGCCTCAAGCTGTCTAAGTATGTTGCCCATTAGCTCTGACATATCCTCTTAAAAAATAGGTCAATTAATTCTTTACTGACTTGCGGTTTGGATTGCATCCTCAGATACACAGTGGGCATTGCTACTGAAGTCAGCTGGAGCTGTAAAAAGTTTGATCCTAGAGTCTTATTGATTTTTGGTGATCAGTACTGTCCCTCTGGAACCGGTAATGAGCTTTTCACTGGTTCCCAGGTGCTAGGACTGGTCTCAAAAATACAGAATTTCATTGCAGGATATAAAAGCAAGCCTGGAAAACCCTGAGGGGCACGTCTCATAAACAGAGGTGTTTAGTCTCTTGTGGTATCGCACATTCAGTAACAAAACCATTAGGTGAAAGGAAAAGGTCAGTAAATAAGTTAAAATGAAATCCAATATGAAGGCTGAAGGAAAAAAGAGCAGAAGTAATCTCATGTTAATGAAAACATGACAGGGTGAGAGAGCTGAAAATGAGCACAGGTTTGAACAAGCAGAGGACGGCACAGAAGGAGGGTGTCCAGCACGCCGGTGTGGTTGAAGAAACATTTGTGTTTGGATGGTGCTGGTAGTGCTGCAGGTCTTACAGAGGGTGAGAAATGTTAGTGGCACTGTTCAGTGGAGCTGAGTGAGGCTGATCTTGGGTTTTAATTTATAGTTATTTACTGGTAGTTCTAAGGAATTAGCAAACTCTGCTATTTGATCATCTTGTATGAAAAAAATCATGGCTAAAATATAGTTACCTTCACTCTACATTTTCTCTTCTGGTTGAACTACAGCTGATCACAGCATGGGCCAATAGCATTGGCACTCATGTCCCAGAGCACAGCAGCCACCTGGCTAACTCCAGCCTGTCCCTCCTGTTGGCAGGGTCCTGTCTGCAGATGTTCTCTTGAACCTCTCCTACTCCTTCTCCAGCAAACACCAAAGCAATCTGCCTGAGGCTTCTACCCATCTTCTAGAGGGGAAGCCTGGGAAGGGGCAGTGTCCGAGTCAAGAGATGAGCCCTGATGCCTGATTTTTCTTTGCCTCTCTCTGTGTCAAAGGGTAATACCTGTCATCACCTTGTGGGCATGAAGACGCTTAATGAATGAAATTTCATTAAGTACTTCTATTAATATTACAAATTAAAGCTCTGCGTTGTAAACCAGCATATAACCCCCCCAATCCCCTAAAGTAAAGTAGCAACTTTTGCTGCTTATCACAGTTGCACTCCTTCAGACATGGGCCAGCGTCTTCACTGACAGGCACTGCAAATAGCCCAAACGTGCTTAAGCTGAACTAGTGGATCAAAAAGCCTAAGGGCTCTGTATTTACTCTGCCTTTCCCAAGAGAAGACCCGGTAGGGGAAGACTTTCCAACTGTAGGCGTGTTGTACTTTGCCTGTTAGTCTCAGCATAGGCAGTGTATCCAGCTGCCTGCCTCTCTGCGCCATCAGCAGCCGAGTACTGTGTGCTTTGCCACGGGACTTTCATTGCACCCTGAAACAGGAAAAATAGTTTATCCCATTCCATAAAAAGTTTAACAGTATTTTAATTTTACAGGTTTCTGTTCACAGATAGTTCTAGAAATATCCTAGGGCAAGTACTTCTTAAGTAGATTCATTAAGTATTCATTTAAATAAAGATGAAGTGTTTCCTTCAAGGGAAATTTCTTTACCTTTTATTTGGTATTCATGAACACTGATATGGGAAAAGTATGTCTTCAAGAATGACTGTGGAAGGGAAATGTTTTATACAACGATCTGAAAGTATGCTTACCCAGGCAGCCGCACGCAGGCCTGCTTTCGGCCGAATGCCAGCTGGAGCCAAATTACCCTCATGCTTTTTTATGTGAGCAGTTTTCAGCATGCATCTGTAAGAAATATTCAAATAGGTAACATATATATATCATGGATACCTTACAGTCAGTAACTGCAGTATAAATAGTTGAATAAAACTTCTCATTACAGGTGCTGAATGGTAAATCTGCTTTGGCAAGGAAAAAGCTGATAGTCTCATTTTTGGCTTGACTTGTAGGTAATGTAAATAGTTTCCAAAGTAAATTTTTTAAAATAAAATATTACTCCATTAGTGACAGGAACTTTCATGTTTGCATTTGAGTAGAAGGAATTTAATATCCAATATCTTAATAAGATATGAAAACATCACCTTCTGCTTCTGTCAACTAGAAATACCATTGTATTTTTAAATTATCCTATGTAGTTTAATGGTTTGTGTTACGGAAGTGAAAAATATTTTCCTCAGGTGACAGGAAGGTGACATGCTCCCTGCTAGTGTCTGGTGTGTTGTGTGGTGGGTACAGAAGGCTTTCACGAAAGAAGAAGATAAAGCTATATCTAAATCACATTATGCACACAACAAAGTGAGGAGAAAGACGAAAGATAGGTAGCCACTCTCATCCCTGGTTCCTAGAACTGCCACTGAAAACTCATCATCTCAGGAATCACGTCTTTATACAGGAATGTATGTACAGGAATTGTGTGCTGGCTGACAGGGCATTTTTTTTCAATTATGTACCTTTTCCTCCTTCTGCTTGCACCTCCACAGCAGTGTGTGGCTCATCACTCCTTAGGAGAGTTTTTTACATGTACCCAGCCTGGGAGCCTCTGGAAGTTGCTGTTTTGGTTTATAGTGATGTAAAGGTCTACTATGGGACAGAGTTTTATTATTTTAAGGACAATCAGTAATCATCTTTACGTTATTGTCTGATAATCTAGGGGATACTTTGCTGGTTGAATTCCCAGACCTATCCTTCCCCTGGCCCACAAGTAAAATTTTGATTCAGTAGACTTCCAAATACAAAAAATCTTCAGTTACATTATGATAAAACTTTAGTATGAAGCATTGCTTAAGTCCAAGTGTCTTATATTTCCATTTAATTTATATCCTGGAGCTCATCCCACATGCCCCAGGGTCTCATCTGTGTCAGGAGGTCTCATTGTTTCTGAGTGAGAATTGACGTTTCAGAGTGCATTGTGGCATAAGCAGAGAACTGCGTCCAGAGAGGGGAACTGGGATAAAAAGTGACTGAATTAAAACTCCAGGAAGGCAGCACTGCAGAATTTACTAATTAAATAGTTTGAGGCTTGGCTGGAGTACTTTGTTTCTGGCTAGCCAGTATTTTGGAGAAAAAATATTATTGTTCCTTGGAAAGTTTCTGGAAGAAATATGTCTAATTGAAAGAAAGAACCTCATTGAAAATGTTTCAGCAGCACTTTCCAGCAGCAACCAAAGAAAACACCGACCAGGCCTCCGAGTGACTCTGGCTTGCTTCCCAAGAGCATGTTTTGGCAGCCCAGGAACACACTGCACATATATGTAAGCCCCTCTTGTTTACTGAGAGGCTTTGTCTTCTTTGGAGCAGAATGCACAGATTTACAAAGACTTAAAAATGTAAGGAATAGTACATTATGCAGTCAACAACAAAAAATGCTGTTCAACTTTCTTTCCAGCAGATACCCTGCAGACACCCTGCAGAACGTACACTGCTTCTGTGCCTGGCTGTGCTTTTTGGAGGTCTTCCCAAAGAGTCTTATACACTCAGCGTAGCTTTCCTTCCCCACCACTAATCCAAGAGAAACAAAACCTGTTCAGCGTGGAAACCTCCACGCCAGGCTGAAATCCCACATGCATCCATCTGAATTTATCTACATATGAACCATCTGGTATCTAATAAGACTCTCCTTGTCTTAAGCGTTAGGTTTGCTTATTTGCATTTCACCTGGGGACTCAGATGGTGAAAGGCAATTTGTAGGGTTGAAAGCACCCAACTGTTTCCAATGATACAACTTCACATAATGTAGCTGTTACCTAGAAAGGTGCTTGTTTGTCCAGAAACGTGCCTGCCCCGTGCCATGCCCATGGCTCGCAGTCCTCCACGTGTAGTCTCTCACTGACAGAGTATCTGTGACTGCGAGGGGGGTGGGTTTGGGCTGTAACTGGCCCCTACAGCAGGGTTTTGTACCAAGGTCTGGATCCCAAGTCAAGCTCTGTAGAGTGAAAGACATCCTGCTTTGTTCATAGAAGGTATTTAGCTGTGTTCACAGCACCGGGATCCCTTCTTCTGCAACCAGTACAAATTCAGCTCAAGGTGATCCATGCACCGCTCCTGACCCTCTTGGCAGCTGCAGAGCTTCCTTCCATCTGGGTGAAGCAAACAGCTTTGGGCTTCCCTAAGCTCCTAGAATAGGGAGCAAAGTCCCTCCTGCAAGGCAGAGGTAGCAGCAGGAGCATCCATTTCTTGCTGACAACCAGGTCACTTGCCTGGAGTGCCGATGGGGATCTTTTTCCCTCCCAACATCGTACATAGTCTGGGAA